AGCGAGCACCCTCCGCCGACCCTGCCGCTCTCTCCCAGGGGACCAGGAGGCGGGCGAGCTGGGGCTGGCGGCCGTGCCCGGGCGGCAGGCAGCTTTCCGGCAGGGCCTGGAGGCGGCCGTGCACTACGCCAGGGCTGTGGGCTGCCCCAGGTAGGTGCGAGGCGGGACCCCCGCTCCGGCCCCGGCCCCGCGGCTGCCGGGGGCGCTTCCTCTGCTGCCCTCCTGCCCCAGCGCTGCCCCCGAGCGGAGCCTGCCCTTTGTCCTGCGGTGCCTCCCGCCGCCGTCACGGAGCCTCTCCCGGGCAGCATCTCCTGCTCGGCTGCGTTGGGCCGGAGCCAGCTCCGGGCAGACCCCGCTGAGCGGGGCCGCGCTCTCGGCCTGTTCGCTGGGGGCGGACCCAGAGCTGCCAGGCACGAGCTTGACCCTGCCCTTCGCAGTAGAGGCTCTTGTTCCCACCCCCACACAACAGTCCCCCAGGATAATCCTCCCTTTTTCCTCCCCGACTGCACCGGTCGTTTCCACCAGGACACCACAACAGTTGCTTTATTGAGGGCCATGCTGACTCCAGCACAGCAGAGACACCGTAAAAGATGCAATTAGCCTGGCACAGCTCCCTTCAGAAAACCAACAGGGCCCTTTTATTCCACTTACTTTGCACCATTCTTTCATGTTGCAACTCAGTCCAAAGCCCTGTGGAGGGCATGGGCTAGGCAGGCCAAAGGCTGTGCAGCACCATCTGCACACTGGTACAGGCACATTGAAAAGGTTTTTATTTCTACCATTCACCTTCCCCCAATGGTGGCTGAAGGTGGCCTGGCGCTTGAGCTCTTCATGGCAGGGCAGTCCAGTGTGGGACACTGTCCTCTCCCTGCTCACAGCCAGCAAGCAGTGACACCATGCATGGCAGGCCCCTGGAAGAAGCAGCACTCCAGTTGCCCACATGCTGGATTGGGGTCCCCCAACAAGAAAGAGCCCAAGAAAGCTCCAGCGTCAGGGTGAAAGAGCTGAAAGCAATTAACAAGAGGGAAGAAGCAAGGTCTGTGATTTGTCAGGCAAAGGTTCAAAGTCATCCCTCTGTGTTTTCAGGGGAGATGGTGCATATTTGTGTCCTGGTTGGCAGCTTGCTGGCTGCTGTAGTGCCTCCTGCAGGAGATGGCTCTTCTTGCCCCATTCTGTGTCTGCTCCCCCGGCCTGGCCCCCTTTTCCATCAGCAGAGGAAGATGTATTAGATCAGGCCAGCAGCTTGCAGGTGCTGCCTGTGATTATCTCTCTGTGCCTGTAGGATTCATGTGATGGCTGGGCGGGTTCCCCTGGGCACAGACCGGGCTGCAGTGGTAGGTGAGATGGAAACCACCTTCATTGAGAATCTCAGATACGCTGCTGACCTCCTGTCCCAGGTAGGTGGGGAATGGGTCTTGCTTTGTGTGTGAAGCTCTTAGGATACCCAAGATGGGGAATACCTCACCAGCATGGCATGGGGAAGTTATGCTTCCTGCTGCAGAGATGTCAGGATGCTCCGCAGGGTGACATTGCTGTGTTACAGGAAAACATGATTGGACTGTTGGAGCCTATTAACAACCGCATCACTGACCCTCGCTACTATCTGAACACGCCACACCAAGGTAAGGCAGACACCAAGAGTCTCCATCAGAGGAGGAGAAGGATCTCCGAAGTCTGAAAGGCAGGAGGTTGCCTCACCAGGACAGAGATGCTGAGGGAGCACAGTTCATAAAGGGGGTCCTGGGGCTTCTCTGCAAACCCTTCCACGCTGGGGGTAATGGTTTCTCATTTCTTGCCCCCTTAGCTGCTGCCATCCTGGAGAAAGTGGGACGGCCCAACCTGAAGCTGCAGCTGGTGAGTCAGCATTGAAGCTCTCTGTGAGGGGAACTCTCACAGGTCCACAAAACTGTTCTGGTGGCCATGGGCTTAATATCCCTTCTCAGGGACATTGGACAGGGACCATAGCACAGCTGTCCTTAACTGCTCACTGCTGAGCAGCTGCACCCTCCATTTTCCTCTCTTGCCCCCAGGACCTTTTTCACTGCCAGATCATGGATGGCAATTTGTCACGCAATCTGGAGACGTACTTCCCACTCATCGGTAACACCCTGTGCCCTCCCAGACCAACTCCACTGCAGCCACTGGGCAGGAGTGGCTTTGAGAGGGGGCCCTCCTGCTCCAGGCTCTGCTGCAGCTGGCTGGGGGTGTGGGGCTGCTCTTGGGTCTTGTCTCATAGCTAAAGAAGGCTGTAGGCAGAGCTGCCTTGGGCATGGCCCCTTCCCTTCCCTCCCTAGGTCATATCCAGATTGCACAGGTACCAGGGCGGCACGAGCCCGATAGCCCTGGGGAGCTGAACTTCCCCTACATCTTCGAGCTCCTGGAGTCCCTTGGCTACACTGGCTACGTGGGGTGTGAATATGCTCCAAAGGGTGAGTAGGCCTGCAGGTGTGAGCCCCATGGGCAGGTCCAAGCACAGAGCAGCTGGCTGGGTACTGTGCAAACAGGTCCTGGGGAGTGCAGGGAGTGGGTGTCATCCCGACCTGGGAATGAGGGCTCTGTCCTTAACAGAAGCTGCTCCAGCTTCTCCAGCTGCAGCAGGAAACGTTGTCTGTCACTGCAGGAGACACCCTGGAAGGTTTGGGCTGGCTGCGATCCTACTGGGAAAGCCGAGGGCTGCAGCATGGTGGGACCAGCAAGGCAGCCAAGTAAAACTAGAAAACCATGAGAATAAAAGACAAAGCAATGGCTTAACAGAGCATGTGTCTTCAGGACTAGGGGAGTGTGGTGGGTGGGACGATTTCCTAGAATGAAGTTAGGAGCATCTATGTCATTTCCTTTCCCCAGGCTCTACTGGGCCAGCCCAAACTGTTGGACCCTCATCCACACAAGTACCACCTGCAGCATGTTCAATTTAGTGATGGCTCAGGCACCACTGTAGGTGACTTCAGGTACACAGAAAACTTTCACTTCTAGGCTGCAGGGGTGTCCAGGGAGAGGTTTCCAGTCTCCCCACTAAGGGGAGCGTTCCAGCTGGTACCTGAAGTTGTGGAAAGAACACTCTTGACTTCTAGGTACTGAAATTCTCAAGGCTGTTGCCAGTACCCAGCACTGACTCTGAAGCAGGGCTGCAAGTGAAGCAAGCAGTCCCCTTCCAGGCTGTCCAATCCAAGGTAACAGGCTGGGAGCTGCCTGTGAATGGATACTCAAGGCTGACTGTCCTGCTGCTCCTGCTCTGGAGCAAGTGTAAGATTCCAGAGCAGCCAGGGCTGCTCTGGATCCTCTGCAGGCAGCTTTCCACAGCCTACAGCGACTGAGCAGAGATCTGGTTCAGTTTATTTCACAGATAGAACAATGGCTCAAATGTACACCTCTATAATACCTTCCTGTGATCCAGTTCACCTTTCCTATCCCATTCATGCTCTTCCAAGGAAAACAAAAGAAGCAGTTATCCTCACTGCCAGTCAGGCAGCCCTGCAGTCAGGAGTCTTTCCTCCTAAAGCAGAGCACTGTGCAGTGCTACCCTGGGCAGAAGATGGTGCTGTGCATGCTCCTCAGTGCCTTCCCAGCAGGCAGAACTCACCTATGGATGCCAAAGCCACGTCCCTGAGAGTTGTTCTGCTTCAGCCAGGCTGCAGCAGCCAAGTTCCTGCCCTTGCTGTTTGCTTCAGGGCCATTCAGTATCAAACCCACTGAAAACAGCACACAAGGGCTGTACCAGCCAGCCAGCGATGAGGTGCACATCCCCAGGCTCCTTGGGTCAGTAGCCATGTGTGCCACTGGCAGTGCTGCCTGCAGTGCCCACGCACAGGTGCCCCCAGAGACCTGTTCCTCCCCATGGTCACCAATGGCACGGCCGTGCCGAGTCGGAATACGCGCTGCTCCAGGACGTGGGTGCCAGTGCTAGAGCAGGCCTGTCCACAGGTTGAAGCAGGCGGTGTTGATGACTGACTCCAGGTGATGGTACGTGGACACAAGCTGTGGCAGAGGACTCTCGCTGTTCTGGGGCTGCACTGGGAATGGCTCCCGGAAAACCACGGTGAGGCTCTGCCAAGAGGGAGGAGAGGGTCAGGGGACAGGATGCAGACAAGCGCTGTGCAGTCCCTAGCCCAGGTGTGTGGGACACTTTTTTGGCAGTGTTAGGCAAATACTGGGAGTAGTCCCAAAATGCCCATGGCACTAAGCTAGCTCTTCCTGTGACAGCATGTTTGAGCCTCCTCCCAATTTTTCTGCTGGAAATTCAGTGTGAGGACTTGCCCACTCTGTTCCAGCTTTTATGCATCTGCAGTTACGCCAATCCTGGCAGCAACCACAGGAGAGGAGGGGATCCTACTGCCTCCACAGTACCAGGAGCTTCTAGGGAAATTAGAGGGAAAATTCTTCTTCTAAGGGAAAGAGTAGGAGTGCAACAAATGGGGAAGGGGAGGAGATTAAATGTAATAACCGCAATCCTAAAAATAAATGCTGCCTGCTCCGCTCGGACTAGCAACTGTATTGAAAAGGCAGGGCAAAGGCAGAGGGGAGAAGGGAGCAGCAGAGGTTGCAGAAGCTGAAGCAGAATGAAAATGTGACTCAGTGCACTCAGATCAGCATCATGGAGGCAAGACACAGGGACAGGAGTTCTCCAGAATTGAAATACAGCACATCCACTAGCCAGGGTCCCTTACAAACTGGTAAAGCCATGAGAAGAGTTGTGTGAGTACAAAACAGTGAATGTACCACCAACATTTAAGAGGGGAAAGGAAATTATTTGTGAGCCCAACTCCAGCAGCATGCAAGGCTTCAGAGCAGACTGGGGGAGACAGAACCATGAGGGAAATGCAGCTCAGTGTTACCAAAATGATGTGCTAATGCTAAAATTCTCTTTGATAAAGTAGTATTTCTAGACAATGGAATCATGGTACATCTTATCTGAGATTCAGGAAGGATTTGATGTAGTGTCACAGGGGAAATTTAGGTAAGCTGAAAAGATAGGAATTAACTCAAAAATTATAAAGGGAGAACATGGCAGCGCTGAAAAGGGAAATGGAGAGAGGTTACAGATAGAGCTCCTTCAGGACAGGCTTTGGGGCTCACATTCCCTAGTACTTTAACAATTGTCTGGTACAAAGATGAGGAGTATGCTGATAAAATTTGAGGCACTAATACAAAAGAGGATTGGGATAATGCAAAAAAACCCAAAACCAAACCAAACCAACAAACAAACAAAACAACCCTGAGAGAGTTTTGAGAGGCCACAAGAATGGGATGAATGCTAAGCACAAAATACAATATTATGAAAACAAAGGGTTTCTATTAAAAAATGAGAGTCACTGGGAGAAGGAATGGAGGGTCTGGCTTTATTATATCAATGACCACAAGGTGACACTATGACCATCAGGTGGCAGGAAGCACTGAGCAGCCTTCCAACAAGCACTGCCTCTTTTGTCTCCCCTACCTGCTTTTCAGATGGAGCATGATTTATTTTATACAACATCAGTTACTCTGCAGTCTCTGCAGAAGCCTTGTTGTGGACTGAATGCTCCTGTAGATCCCCTGCTCTCACATGGAGCTGCATTCCCTGTGACCCATCCTGTACCCTGGTTCAGTGAAGGCAAAGGCCCTTGCAGGTTTGCTGGGACCCTGACAGTGCAGGTCCCCTTCCTTTCTGCTCAGGTAGGAGCAGCCCACAGCACTGGTGACCCTTCCCAGCCAGACCCAGTGTGATCTGGCTTTGGACTGAATACAGAAGGACTGCTTAGCCTGGATACAGAGACAGCTAAGAAAATGATCCAAAAGCAATCCTGTGAAGGAAAAGAGGATCAAGTGCTCACTGTTTTCTAATACAAGAACAAAGGGGGTATCACATGGAAAGAACAGCAAGAACTTCAAAAATAAGCCAAGGAACTTCTTCACCTAGACTGCAACTGCCTCATGGAGCTGCAAGTCAGGGGAAATCATGGATGCCAGAAATTAACAAAAGGAAATAAAGCTGTGGAAGGGCTATTAAATAAATGCAAAGGCCATTTCTAGCTGAGGATGGGCCTAAGCTACAGGTTTTCAGATGCTGGGACAGTATTTTGGAGAAGCATTACAGGCTTCTTGACCTGGTCATGTTCTCATGCACACCTGCCCTTGGCCACCTGGATCAATCTAGACAGATTCCTGGCCTGAGCCAACATAGCTGTTGTTCTGTTGCCAAGGACTCACCGTTTTTCCTGAATGAGAATCAAGAAACACAAGAACAAAGCAATCTGTGAACTTCTGGTTGAGCACAACCTGTCAGGAGAGTCATAGAGCATGTTAGAAAGGAGCCAGTACAGAACCCAGGACAGGGACACAGGGACAGAGGCTGCAGGTGGACAATGGGCTATGTCTTACCAGATACTGGGTGCCAGTTTCGGCATTGTGGAAGTGCCGACAGCTCTGGGGAAAGCGGCTCAACAGCACCTTGATGAGGCTCTGGTACCAGGAGACTGTCATGGTGAGGAAGCATTCCTGAAGACATAGAAAAGGCCTGATCTTCAGCCTCCCTCTAGCCATGGCACCAGCAGCCATAATGCTACAGCAGCCTTCAGACCCCAAAACAGATGCAACCCTCCCAGCCCACTGAGGATGCTGACTGAGGGCTGTTCACTCTCTATAGACAGATCAATGCAGTCTTCCCCTTCCCGTGCCAGCTAGGAGCTGTGTTCCTGCCTCTACCTTCCCAGCAAGCACAAAGAGATGTGCATTGCAGGCCCCTTCACCTGGCACCTCACCCCACCCCCAGAGCAGAATAGCAGCTGCTGTGCACTGTGCCCCCATCCCTGCTGCTCACCAGCTGGGGGTCGACATCTGCGATGGATTTCCCATGCACGGCATCGAGCAGCTCCTCCAGCTCCACCAGCGAGAGCTTGCCCAGCTTCAGCTTGTCAGAAGCCAGAGGCTCCAGAAGGAAGAGGCGCTTCCAGAGGTTGTCCCTGCGGCAGTGGCACTTGGCCAGCTGCACCATGCTGCTGAGCTGCTTCTGGGCTGAGGCCACCTCCGAGGCCAGCAAGGGGAAGAGTGGAGAAGTGTAGAAGAGCCCTGGCCCCAGTTTGACCTGCGTGCCCCCCGCGTAGAACTCGCTGCTGTCCTCCACGTCCTGCCACAGCTCCCGCTCTGCCGATGGCTGCCGGTCCAGGCTCGGCTCCGGCTCCGCTGCCTCCCACGCTGCCCGGCCTACCACAGGCTCCAGCACTTCCCGCTGCAAGCGCGGCAGCTTCTTGAAGCGTCGCATGTCGGCCGTGAGCCGTGGAAAGAGCTCCCGCTGGCTTGTCATGATGACGTAGAAACGCAACCTGGGAGCAAGGAGACACTGTTGACATGGGAAGGGCTGCTCCCCTCTCAGCTGCACTGCAAATGCACCACAGGCCACTCTATCCCTGCCAGAAAGGGTGCTTCTCTGCCCAGGTTCTCACAGTGATCCTCCCCAGACACCAACAACTCTGCCTATGCTATTCCAGACAGAACCTGTCCCTCCCAGAGCCCTCCTCTCCAGCCAGGAAGCTTTGCTCTGTCAGTGGTGCCCAATGCTCACCGGAGCATGCGTCTCTCTGCCTCACTCTGCTCCTCAAATGGTGCCGCACTGTGACAAACCAGGAGGGACACATCAAAGTCATCATGATGACGCAGACCTTCAGAGTCCTTATAGGAGCCCGAGCTGGGATAAAAAAGCACATCAGTATGAAGGAAGCCTCACTTTGTTCTTCCAGGGCTCTTGATCACAACAGAACAGTTGGACATGGGGAATTCCACA